TACTGATAACTCATCAGGGCATAAAATATATCATAAATGAACATAGATAGTTATTTCTAAAAGTAGATTTCAACTCATGCCTAATGAGATCTGTTCAGCAAATTATCAATTTCAGAGTAACCATTTTAACATTTTATAACTTTTAAATGTGCACTCACTCACATGTAACACTTACCTTTTCTGAATGCACCACATTTAAAGCTGCGCTATGAGGGGCAGCAGATACATAGTCACTATCATTAAACATTGTCACCATTATGTTCTGGTGTGTGAAAAAGTTAATAAGATCACTGATATCTGAGTCTGGCAGGAGAAAAATAAGAATAATAAAGAATCAGTTTAAGTAAGAAAGACATTTTGATAATATTAGAAAGATAGTGCTCTTGTAAAATATTTATCTTCAGCTACGACATGATTAAGAGTACTGGCTCTATAGCCAGCTGGCCTGGATTCAAACTCAAGTTGTACCACTTACACTATGTGTTGTTCAAGCAAGTTACACAGATATTGTAGATCTTAGTTCTATCCTTTATCAAGTGGAGATAAGTATATCTACTTTATATGTACAGTTGTCATGACGAATATATATTCAGAAACTGGTACGCACTAATTGCGCAAATTTTACCTGTTGCTGTCACAAATATTAATAGTACTAAAAAGTTATCCCATGAAATTTGATTAAAAAGTAAAAACAATCTACTTGGCAATCTTAACTATACCACAATATTCAAACACAAAATCAGGCTTCTATATAGTCTCTACATGGCCTGAAGCCAAAGGCAAAGACTTGAGTCCTGTGTAGGGTTTAAATGTACATCAACATGTCTGATGGAGACAGTCCTGCTCTACCATCACAAAAGCTAGGATCCAAGAAAATAAATGTACCTTTGAGAGAAATCCAAACTGCACGAAAACAAAATACTCTCAGTAGCTGAACAGTATGACAAGATAGACTGAGTACCAATCCTGAATGCCATCAAGAATGTGCTTTTAGGTTAAGGAGCACAACATCTGTTCCTAGCCAAGGACCTTAACTGATCTCTTAACTTTGCCAGAGTGGCTGTGTACTCTACGAAAGAGCTATACTAAACTGAAGTAACTGTATAATCTGTGTTCTGGGAGAAGGGTAAGAAAATATACATGCACAAAAGCCCAGGGATCTCAAAAAGAAATATGGTTTCCCTTTGGACCACAAATGGGAACACAGAATCCCAAAATACTAGAATGTAGACTGAATGGCTCAGTTCCTAGTACCCATGCTGGGTGTCTCACAACCACCTGGAACTCCAACTCCAGGAGATCTGACACCCACTTCTGGCCTCTGCAGCACTCTCACACACAGGCACATGCAGAGGAACATAAATAAAAGTAAATTTTAAAAAAACCTAGAATTTCTATAGAGCAGTAAGAATGAACTCAAAGCAGAAAGATTATAGATAATATATAATTTCTGAGAAATACTTTAAAAAACCAGAGTATAGGATTCCAAAAACTATCGTGTTTAGCCACATGAAATACATATTAAAACTGAAGACTCAAATTCTAAATGAAAGTAGAAAACTGTAACACATAACATTTTCTAATTAAGAGAATTTTCCGTGCTAAATGCATCTTTTCCAGAAAGGATCAAAGCTATGTAACATATTTAGCACCAGATAATGATTTTTAAAGTAATACTTTTTTCAAGAGCCATCAGACTACAAGTTATCTCTATCTTTGTAAACAAGACATGTAATAAGAAAACTGATCATGCATAAATGAAATTCTATATTATGTTTTAATTCTTTGAAAAATTAGAATCCTAATTTAAGATTAGCATAGCATATAAAAATGTGAAATTAAAAGTGTGAAATATGAAAAAAAAACTTTTTCATACTTGGCAATAATATAATAAGACTACAAATAGCAAATGTAAAACTATCAACTACAAATTTATAAATTTAGTTGTAGATATTTACATGTAAATAATAATCCTTGATGGAATTTTTTAACATCTAAGTAAAAATATATGTGGCTAATTATTATACATCTTTCTGAAGAAAATTTAACTATTTCTCAATTTAATTATGTTCATCATGAAATCTGAGATCAGTAAGACCAGTTATTGCTACTTTTTAAAAAAAATTTCATTATAAACAATATAAAATGAAATATTTTTAAAACTATCAATTACACTTAAAGTAGTCCTCCATTTACATCAAATATCATTCAGTACCAATACAGTAAATATTTAATTTAGATTTTGCAATGAGAGACCATGTCTGTTTTACTTTTAAATATATTTCTAAAAGTCCAAACTCTGATCTACCTGTCAACTATATCTACCCCTCTATTACCGACCCACACACACTCACAGACCTTCACACATTCTCACCAGTAGAATTTTGAAGCAGCAGACTTGTTTTGTATTTATGAGGCTTATCTCCAGGTTTTAGGAAATATAAGTCTGGAATGAGTTTAATGGGAACCACAGCATTTTTGAAAGAATGATGTACCAAAAACATAAAAATCTGTACCGCAAAAAAAATTAAAAGCAGAAGCAACCTGAAAAAAATAAGAAAAGAGCTTAAGATACATTAATATACAAATCTACTGAAAGTCTTCTTTCACAATATTTCAATTAAAAAACAATCACTGAGAAAATAAAGACAACAAAACAAGCATAACCAAAAATCGGAAAAAACCCTCTTTAAAAATCTACTACTGCCAGGTGTGGTGGCGTACACCTTTAGTCCCAGCACATGGGATGCAGAGGCAGGCGGATCTCTGCAAGTTCAAGGCCAGCCTGATCTACATAGTGAGTTCCAGGACAGCTAGAGCTACAGGGAGACCCTGTCTCAAAAAGATCAAAAAAAAAAATCTACTACCAAAAATGACATTATAACAATACTGGAGGGAAAGCCAAATTGAATAGTAAGATTAAAAATTATAATTTTTCTTCAGAGCTGAATAACATTCCATTTTGTATATGTAGCAGATTTTCACCATTTGTTGATGAACAGTACCTAGGTTGGTTCCGTTTCCTTGCTACAGTGAAGACAGCAGCAATAAACATGAGGGTATAAATATCTCTATGGTAAGATATGGAGCCCCCTGAGTACAAGCCCAAGACTGAGGTAGCTGGGTCATACGGTAATTCCATTTTTAATGTTTCAAAGAACTGCCAAACTGATCTCCATAATGGCTGCAATTCGCACTCTCACCCACAGTTCTTTTTCTCCACATCCTCTCCAACATTTGTTGTTGGATTTCTTGATGAGAGCCATCCTAACTGGGGAGAGGTGGTATCTCAAAGCGGTTTTAATTTGCATTTCCCTGATGACTAGGGATGTCACAAAATTCACAGGAAAATGGATAGACCTAGATTGTATAATATTAAGTGAGGTCACCCAATTTCAGAAAGAAAAAAAGAAAAACTGCATGTTCTCCCTCATATGGAGACTTGTCTATAATGTATAATGTAAACACATGCACATATGAGTATATTGTAACATTTAGAATTGAAAACAAGAGTAATCTCAAAAAGACATACTGAGTTCACATGTGTGTGTAACTCTCTTCTCTCCCTCTCTCTCTCTATATCTCTCTCTCTCTCTCTATATATATATATATATATATATATATTTCTTTGTGTATGT